ATTGCCGTTATTAGTTAGTCAATCGTCACGCCTTCCAGCTGAAATTCATAGTATCATCCAGGTCATCACTAAAAAACCCGTTGTCTATAAACTCTTGAGCCACGTCTTGAACCAGCTCGTCAGCCAAGTGAAGATCCCGAGTCACATCTGGCGTTTTCTGGCCGAAACTCACATTTTCCCCAGTGGGCCCGCCTTTCAAACTGTTATTGGTGGGCCCATCTTGGTTTTGTGTGAAGATGGGCCACTGTAAAACCTGTTGGCCGCCTTGTGAAGGGACCGATTGATTTTGTTGTAACTTTTGGTGCTGTGAAAATCCGTTGATGGCTGGCGGTGGTAAATTACCAGAACGCCCTGGAGTTGCCGTGTTGGTCTGGCTGTTGTAAGGAGAAGTAGCCTCCTGCTTAAGTGTACTATTACTATTATCATTATTGTTGTTACTGTTGTTAATATTAATATTATTAAAGTTGCTGTTATTTTGGGTCGAGTTGGCCGAATTTTGTCTCGTGAGTAGATTTTGGTAATTAGACAATGCGAGAGTGTTCGTCGAGGGGTGCCGGGGAAAGTTCTTCAAGCCCTCTGCAAAATTAGATGAAAATGAAATCAAGAAATTTGTGAAAATGTGTTGTTTTCGAAAGGGAGGACCGGTTAAAGGATATGTTACCAATAGGACCGATTTTTCGAGATGTGCAGAATTCCATCAAGTCTTTCATGCTATTCACAACCTCTGATATCTATTAACATGGGACATATGAGATTTAAGGGGAAAAAAAAAAAAGGATTGATTGAGTTTTACGGAGTTACAAGTAGCCGAAACATACCTGTAGACACCGTACATATCTTTTGGAAAACCCCAAGTCGTTTAACGACTGTAGCTCTAAACTTCTGGCGAGCTGGCGTCCAGCTGTCACGACCCTGAAACAGAACGGAATGATAACACGTGTTAACTAATGCAACTTGAAGTGACAACTACAATTAATCGTATTTTTCCAGGCCAAAAAATCATATCTTTGCAAACAAGCTAAATATAGTTCGACATTAAATGTACTGGGAGAATAATTGGTTTTCTCTGCTTTGTCACTTATGCACCCTATTCCAACTCTAAAAGAAGTATTCTTTAGCACTACCTGATCCAGCATATGGATTCATTACATAGTTGATCTATGTTATAGAGCTTTAACTATATCAGTAAAAGGTGAAAATCTATGTTAATTATCAGGAAATGAAAAATAACGAAAAATAAACTTTTAAGCAGCAACAAGTCGCATGCTGCAAAAATAATGAACCAGGGAGAAGCCATATCTAAACCATTGATAAAAGAAAAAGTGAAATCTGCTCACATTGCACTGTTTGCCTGTAAATCTGGTTGAGAAATACCATTGGGCCCTCTTTCAGATATTGTGCTTTGGTACTTTTGTGCAACCAGCAGTAATTGATTCACCTGAAATTGCCATTTTACTAAATAAGTAATACTGAAGAACTGCTTTTATATTCGACCAACAATTATAGATCATCAAAACGTAACAAACCCGATTGTTTACGGCTGCTTTCAATTGCCAATCCAGAAAAATTGCATTCTAATTTTTTATTTTTTTTTCAAACGAAGGCAGAGAATTACGAAAGAGTAATATATGACAGTATACTCTTACGAAACAGTGTTATTCTTCTATGAAATCAATTTTATCCATAAAGCCAACCACGGAAGTAGCGTAACAAGAGATACATTACAGTACCTTCAGCGTATGTTATTGTCAAGAAGATGGACATTATAGAAAAATATATTCCCTGTTTTCATGTGAAAAATGAAATCGGGTTTGGGGAAACAGTGGGTCTAGTAACTGAAATGGGTTTTTTAGTAGATGTATAGAATTTGTAAATAGTTATATATATTGCAAATGTTGTGTTGTGTGGAATATGAGAAATAAAATTGTAGCTTCCAGCAAGAGTGCAAATAGTGAAAACTCAGACAAGGCAAGTCTACCTGAGGCGCTACCAATCTACGAGGCAGAAGTTCTTCATGGCGCCGTGCACAAAATTCCCAAGATAGTATCTAAAAAGTTAGGACGCAAGTGTTAAATATCGATACACATGAAAAGATGCAAACTACAACAGCCAAGTGAATGAATAAGGCTTTCTAATCTTCACCTTTAAATCAGGAGTGAAAATGATGCGAAGCTGACCCTCGCGAACTACACGGAGTTGCTCATACACACTTTCTGAAACTGCCTTTGCATACTCCAGCATCATCATTCCGGATGGGAATCGACATTCCCGAGGCAAGTCCAGAAATAGAAGCTCGTCAATAATGCCACTACCAAATTTAATTTCATCGAGTCTTGGGAGTACTTCAAAAGTTGCTTCTGTTGATAACAAAAAGGCAANATAAACGACCAATGGAGCTAATATATAGGTTCAGGGTCCAAAGAACTCATCATTTATATAAATGCCAACATAACAGCAGGTGATTATGAAGACTTCAACTCAGGATCACCGAATAGTAGTAATAATCAGAATGATAAGCTAATATAACCTCAAGGAAAAAAAAAATGAAATAGCAAGGATAAGAAGTGGAACCAAAGGTATGAAGGTAGATATACAAATTATTAAGTCACTATAATTACAAGATACCATAGAGACATGCAGACATTATCAAATTTAATCAAATCTCTGGATACTGTATGGTGAGTCTTCACCCAAATCACTAATCATGCTTCACATTTTGAATACTTAGACAAGCTTGTAAGGGTGAGATGAAAGATAAATAGTAATGGGATACTTTTGGTCAGTGCATATGTACATTAGTCAGGATAGAGAATTCTAAAATCCTTCAACTTGAAAATAGAACATCGTCGAATAAAGTATCCAATCGAGCAAAAGGAACTGATTTTTGCTTTTGCTTCAGCTAGGCAGTCATAAACTCAGATCTTAACCATTCAAGGAGTTTTTCCAGCACAAAGGATGTAGATATTATCAATTTTTTCAAACAAATCGAGATGGATTTTGACTTCCCGTAACATAGAAATGCTATGGAATCACTAACCATGATAGATTGCAATATGAAGCTAAAAAAATCCACCGCTGAGGCAATTATATTATTCAAAACAAGTGGTTCAAACATAACAAGAAATGACAATGACTTTATGTAGATAGATTGAAATGGCAGTGACCTTACGCGGATTGGATATTATCCATTTGAGGGAGAAAAAAATTTACGTCCTAAAAAAAGTACACAAAATGAACTGTCGCTCAATAAATATCTACAGAGATAAGACTGGGGCAATAGTACACCACAAGGATTGGGAAGGAGCTTGATATAGTTTTATGACATTGCACCAACATGATCTCAACCATGCAACTCATCATCATTAGGACATGATAAACAAGCCGAAACAGACATATTTGCAAAATCCCTCAACAATATCTTAGTTAAAGTCGAGTGGGACAACTAAATCTCCGATTGTAATTGGCAATAACTTTCAATTACAAAGCTACTCTCAGCCTCTAGCACATTAGTTAATCACCAAGAGATTAATAAGAAGTTTGGATCACAGTGATAACGGTGAATGACATGGTAGTTCTTCTTCCCAGCTTAGTTTGGCAAATTACTTGGAAAATGAACGAATATACAACTACAACTGGCATGATGACACATAATGTTAAATGAAACTCACCAAAACCTCTTCCAGATTTTGAACCACAAATGTCACACTGACATGCATCCTACATCAGAAAAAAGAAAAGAACCCTCAGCATTCATGCCTTCAAAAAAAATTCAAACTTTGGTCAGCACCAATCAGAAACTGATAAGTGTTTATTAACACATGGAATTACCATAGCTGCCTGCGGGAATACCCCCAGTGAATGATGCCCGACATTTTCATAAAGCGATAGGCACCATCTCTTCTTTGCACGTGGAGAATAATACTCCGCCACAAATTTTCTCCAATAGGCAATACTATTGTCCTGGCAAAAAGACACAAAAAACCAANTGAGACAATTGAATTACATGAAAGTCCAGACCAAATAACACCAAAATGCAAACACATGTTATGGAATCATGTAAGAACACGATTAGATTACTCACAGCCGGGCGTTGTCTCTGGTGATAGAGATACTGCATCAGTCTACGTGAGCATACACCACCGTCATATGGGCGTTTTATACCCGAACCTGGCTGCATTCCTTGCTGCAGAAGCTGCTGTCTCAATTGCTGCTGCTGCTGCTGCAGTAACTGAACCCGTTGCATAGGTGGCATCGACTGAAGAAGCTGTTCTCTTTGCTGCTGCTGCTGTCTTAACCGCTGTTGCTGGATCAGAGCCTGCAGCTGAGGATTCGGATTCGGATTCTGCAAGGCCATCGAGTCTTGCCTCTGCAAAAGCTGCTGCAGAACAACATCTTCCTGCTTGATGTCCAGGCGGGGCTTCTTTTGAACCTGAGACACGGAGTTCGGGTCCTGAATGAAAGAATTCGGGCCCCTGGGCCCAATAGGGATCTGGGCCTGCCCCATTCGACTCGAGTGCTGATTTTGCTGGGCTTGTGCCTGGTCTTGATTGGAGCTCTGCTGCGCGGACGATCCAGAGATGCTTATGTTGTTGGACGTGAACGAGAGTGGGGAAGTGGGTAGGCGCATGTAGGACTCCGTGTTGAAACTCGCACTTCTTTGCATGTGGGGCCCGCCCGAGTTGGCATCAGTGACAAGAGAGCTCGCCCCAATGCTGGGTGTGGAGGTTGCCATGCTGTTGAGGACTGCATTACCGACGTCCCCCGACAGTGGGCCCACATTGACACGTGCTCGTCCGGGTATGGAGTTGCTGATGTTTGAACTCAGCTGTGAAATCCCGGAGATCTGAGACTGCCCCTCCCCTTGGAAGAATATTCCAGAGCTCGAAGATGAGTGTGGCATCCCTCCCGACGCGCGAGAAGGCACCATTTGGGTTTCAAAGTTTTGTACAGTGAAGGAATCTTCAAGAATTCCAGGGTAAGCTTGCTAGAGTGCAGAAGCCCTTTGTATCAATCAGAATGGCTTCAAATTGGATCAGCCGAGGTGTAATCAACATGAAGTGAAGGCTGCTCTTTCACCCCATAGAGAATAAATAACTAAATCGTACGGATACTGCCAGTAGTTCAACCATGAATACCAGCAAGTAACCAGTTACAGTTTAAAATCTAACATGATGATATAAAATACAAAAGAAGTATCAGTATCCCAGGCAGCAAGTAGCAACTTTCAAAACTTCAAGAAAAGTAGGGAGAATGCTAATGTACACTTACAACCCAGCATCAACCACTTATATCTAGAAAACCCTAATTCACGACCAGTAAGATTCACACACCAGTGAAAGCACTAATCTTTAGCCACAATGAGGTCGAAGCCTAAGGCACCATCCTGTAAATCAGACTAATCACAAGTAGCCAAATTGTCCAAAAAAAGCACAATTTATGCAGACTTCCCACAGCAACTAAAACAATGCGATCAAACTGAAAACTACTTTAATTAAGCTAATTCCCCCACGCACAAGGCAATTTAGAGTAAAAAGGATCTGATTAGAGTTCTAATTAACATCATAAAAAGAAAAAAGTCACCCCCACCAATCATCATCAACCACAATCAAATATAAAAAACCTGCAATTGCCCTGATATCCGAATTTGGGGACCAAAGAAAAGGAAAAGAAAAGCTCTGTACTTGGTGAAGACCACTGTAAATAGCAGACTTTTGAATTTACTTTTAACTTGAAATTAAAAAAAAAAATAAAAAAAAAAGCAAAAAAATGGGGATTAGAATATGTTAAGTATCTTGAAACAGTGAGTAATCGGAGAAACAATTAGCTGAAGGGAGAACGGAGAGAGATTCCCTGGTGCTGGTCGGTCTTTAGAATAGAAAAAGGAAGGAGACGCCTGCTATAGCCGGTGGAGGAGTGTTGGTGGACCGGATACAGCCGGTGGATTATGGACACGTGTCGGACGATTCTGTGGCGTGTGAACCGGTGACAGGATCTGAAGGTCGCCACACGAGGTCGTTTTGGTTGACCGTATACGTGGCGCGATCGAATAGGGAGTCGGAGAGTCTGAACGCTGTAGGTCCAGGTGGAGTTCAAGAAGGAGTTATCTGCCGCGTCGGGATGAATTAAAAGGCTTAATAAGAACTAACATTTTAGGAAACGATCAGTGAGAAGACCGAATCGGTCATCGAAGCTACTTTCAACGAGTCATTGGTCGAATTAGTAGTTCACCGATATTTAATTTATTAAAATTTTTAAGCTTTGTTAATTAAATATCAACTCAATTTAATATATTCAAAAATTTAAACTAATTAATAAGAACTTATATATATATCCATTATACTTAAATATGTATCTTTTATATATATTAAAAATTATTTAAAAAAAAATATTGGACTGATTCTTTGGTTAGTTCAACCGGTTGTTGACTGATTTTTGACCGGTTCGCTGGTAATCGGTTCATTCCAGTTAACAGAACCGTATAGCGCGGTCTGGTTAAATCGTGATTAAAACTAATTAAAATAAATTCTGATTGGATGAATTTTTTTTTACTCACTTTAGCTCAAAATTTAATTCAAGTCCACTATAATCAATAATACTAGGATTTTCAGGAAGTGACATTTGATGAGAGGTCGTAAAATAATTGAGCTCCACTACGACGTCCTAAGTAGTGGGTGCTCTTTTGAAACTTATAACCGTAGTAATAAGAGAATAGCTTGGGAGAGAACTCACGAAGTCTCATTTTGGAGGTCATTATGAAAGAGACCATAATACAGATGGCATTGGTAGAAAACTGGTTAAGAGGGATATTATACTGGTTACTAAGAGTTATTAGCTCGTACTTAAGAGGAAAGCGGAGACTAAAGAGCACTTGGTCGACAAAGAATGTATAACAAAGGGACAAACAACTCCCAATCAAATGGTTGCTCGCAAAAGGTTCGAAAACCATCAACTCTGCTGCAGGGGCATAACAAACAGGATTCAGTATCACTATTTTGACCAAAGGACACGCTAATGTTACAACATGACCACTTAGGTCGAGTATAGGAGCAATTATTGGTATATGAAAAGGGGTAACTATATGTACATGAATATCTAACACTTGAATAAGAACACCTCGAGGAAAAAACTCAAGACTAGGAGACCTAGGATTACCCTCGCGAGAACTCGATGATCTCAGAGCTCACTCATATTCTTCCCAGTCGACCACCCATCAAGTTCATCGACCAGCCCTCTAGAAGGGCCAGGTTGGTCAACTTGAACCAGATCATGACCTACTATTTGTACAGACGAGTCAGAGTTCAACCAGGTGACTTACGGAGCCATGAGAAGGCGACGTACCTAAAACACATTTCAAAACAATAGGTCGCAGTCAGTATAGGAAGGAACAAAGGAATTTCGTCAATGGGTTGAGTCGCGAGATGCGAGAGGAGAACGGCCTAATGATATATTGAAAAGACGACCTAAAAGGACTAACGACCTACGTACAAACGACCTAGGAGAAGTAAACCAAGAAAAACAAGATGAACATTCTCAAAGTACAAAAAATAAGATCAAAGTATATTCAAATCGGAAAATATGTACGTATATATAGGAAAACATAAAGAACACGAAGAACATTCAAAAGCAGAATACATCAAAACCCAAGAATAAAGGAGAAAAAATTGGAAGGGTAAAGGGAAAGTGAACTTACTCATCATGATGAACAAGCGTTAATAGGAACTAAAGCTCGGTTACCGGAGATGGGCGATGCCGAAATTGCAGGAGTCGGAGATAAAAAAAACTTTAGAATTCAAGTGGGTAAGTGTGGCAAAGAGTTAGAGTGAAACGGATGAGGTATTTATAACCGACCTGTCAAGTTTAAACCCCCTAGATCATACTAAAATAGACGGCTCAGGTCGTGCACGGACATCGAGAACAAGGATTACGAAGCGTCAAAAGAGTCCTTTCAAATTCATATTTATGTCAAATGTCAGACTTGTTAGAGGAATCAAATCGCCAATTTTACTTCAAAGCTCGAGATCACATAGAGTGAATTTAAGGTAGGGGGATTAGATGATATAGCCATAGATGAGCCAACCCGAAATACTCGAAGTATGAGGAGGTCGACTGGAGGGTTGAACGACCTATTAATCAAAAATGACCTAGAGGTCTTGTGGAATTCTCCAACATATGAGGAACCATGAGATTAACCGAACGACCTAAAGACCCTTGGACGGCCTAGAGATCCTTAGACAACTTGGAGTGTCTCGGACGACCTAGACAACTAAGAGGCCTAAGACAGCTCGACCTCGATGGCCGAGATGCGAACCAGATGACCTTAAGAATCATCACAACCTAATAAGCATTACTAACTGAGTTATAAAGGATAAGAATGGATCTAAAGAAGGAATTTAATGTTGATTCAGACATGATTAATTAGGATGAGGATAAACACTAAGCATATAAGAATAAACCCAGACAACTAGACAGACTGACTGCGATCAGTTGGGCAGACTACTTCGGGCAAATATTTCCTTATAAAAGGGATTGAGGTACATCCAAATCCAACTATACCCTCTACATGCATTATATACAACTCTTTAATTATAGAGCACATATCATCTTGAGCGTCAGAGTGCTAACGCCGAACTCCCTCTCGACTCTTTTGAAGGTCATTTCGTAGCAGGTCAGGAAAATCTGAGCTCAGATATAGCCGGTTGAACCTTGACTTGAGGCTTTGGTACATCAACTATAGTCCGTGTCAAAGTCAAAACAGCGGATATGTAATGTAATTATTTCATTTGTTCTTGATTAGAGGAAGTTAATAAAAAACTATATTAAGCTCAAAATTTTATATTACTAATTTTAATTCGGCTCGGGTCGAATCTCTTTCTCCAGCCAAGCAGTGAGAAAGGGAGGGACAGCACCAAAAATCCGTCCTTCAATTTTGATTTTAACAATAACTATTTGTCCGCCGACATTTACTTTCAGAGCTAAATTCAGTCGCCAGAAATTCGGAGGCTCATTATTTCCGGCAGATTTCACGGGACAAATTGATTCTTAACTGAATTCCGGGCTTCTGGTAAGAGATCCGATTTACTGTCTTCGTCTTTTTTCTTTTTGCGTTATTTCAACTACGACCGACAATTTATTCCCGTTCGCCGGAAAACCCCAATCTTTTCTATTTTCTGTTCATAAATCACGCATTGACGTCCTTTTACCTTGTTTTCCCCTCACGAGCATCTAATTAATGCGGTTATTCCATGTGGTTTTATTATTGTGGTTGTTACCTGCCGCCACATACGGTTACTGTTGCAGTTGTATGAATTAAGGATCAAAGTGTAAGGTATAAGGTTTTGTCTGTATGGACGCGTGGCCACAGGGTTTTGTATGATTGTATCTGTGCAAAATGCTGTGATTTAAGAAGTCTGTTAGAAATTTTTGGATTTTCCTTTGCTTTTGCTCTTTTTTCATTTTTGTTTGTTTGTCTCATATTATGTGTAGCTTTATATCTCCAGATCGATGCTGAGTCGGTGCTTCGGATCTGCTGAGCGCTTAAATCTTCTCGAAAAATCCGTCCAGTGTCGATTTAAGAACGGCATTTTCACGTTGGTTTTGGTATTGTAAGAGATTTTGTAAGTGCAAAAAAAAAAAAATGCTGCAAATGAGTACTAGGAATGACTTTGTGCCGCCGGGCAGCCATGAGAAGGAATGGGAGCTTCGGCCCGGTGGAATGTTGGTCCAGGCCCGACCCAACCCGGACGAAAACCGTGTCCCAATACCGACTATTCGGGTCCGGGTCAAATACGGGTCGGTTTATCACGAAATGCGAATCGGTTCACAAGCCACATTTGGTAGTAATTCAACTAATTCTAGTTTCATTGGGATTTGTGTTAATGTGGGAACATGAAATTCTTGATTGTGAAATTTTTATTAACAGGTGAGTTGAAGAAGATGTTATCTGGCCCGACGGGCCTGCACCATCAGGATCAGAAGCTATTCTACAAGAATAAAGAGAGGGATTCGAAAGCATTTCTCGACATATCGGGTGTCAAGGACAAATCTAAAATCATGCTGCAGGAGGACTCGATTAGCCGAGAAAAACGGTATTTGGAAATGAGGAAAAACGCAAAAATGGAAACTGCTGCGCAATCCGTATCGGAAATCAGCTTGGAGGTTGATAGACTCGCCGGACAGGNTTTTTTTTTTTTTTTTTTTTACTCTAAAATCCAATTCTTCCAAGTCTATAATATGTTGTGTACATATTGTGAAGCAATTAATTGAGCTGTTACTATGGTTAGGTATCTGCACTTGAATCCGTTATATCTAAGGGCGGGAAAGTAGTGGAAATGGACGTTGCGAACCTCGTCGATCTCTTAATGAATCAACTGCTTAAATTGGACGGCATCATTGTCAATGGTGACGTCAAATTACAGAGGAAAATGCAGGTAAGTGGTTTTTTTTTTTTTTCTCTCTATTTAAATTAGTGCATAGGAATCAGAAATTGAAACTAATAAAAAAAATCGTGCCGGTTTACGAATTTCCATTTGCTTGTTCGAATTCGGAAAGGTGGAAAGAGTGAAGAAGTACGTTGAGACTCTAGACATGCTAAAGATTAAAAACTCGATGCACCAAACTCGACCCGTTGACCAGCTGTTGGTCGGGCACTCACTAATTGACTTGCCTGTCGAACAGCGGTCGGTTGCCTTGGGTGGGCCTGTCGTGATGACGACTCAATGGGAAATGTTCGACTCGGTTCTTGGAGGGTCCTCGACTTCAGATGGGCTGGCCCGCGTGGCCCAACCGAGTTTTACGTGGGATTTGCTTTGAGTTAGGTGAAGTATAGAAGGAAGACTTAAAAGTATATGTGCTCTAGTGTGGGTTTTATTGGAATTTTGGTTTTGGTTGTTTTGCTTTCTCTGGGTTTGGTTTGGTATCTATTATTATTGTCTATTCTTTTCTGTATTTAGAACTTTTATTAGTAAACCCTTCATTTTTTTTTTCTTTACTATTGAAATAAAAGGAGGCTTCTATTGTTATATTAGATGGCTTGTGTTGCCTTCATGTTGTTGGACTAATTGAACTTGTAATGTATTAAGTATTCATCCATAATTTAGAAATCATTTTCTTCTCATGTACCAATATTATGAATTTGTTGAAAAGTTGTGGAGCTTCTTTTGATATTCTTTTCAAGGTTAAAAGAAAGTTGATAAAGATTTCACTTAATTCAAAGGACTTGCAGTGTAGTTAAGTTGAGAGTTTTTTAACTCTAGTTGAAGTTTGAGTTTTGAACTCAAATCAAGTTAGAGTTATGTTGACCCTAGGGGTTACCTCAGTTTAGTTGGCAAAGTGCCTTCGAGCAAGTATATGTGGTGACGGCCTCCCAGCTATAAGAGCCACAAGTCCGTGTAGACCATGGAGACTTGAGGCTGGACCGTGAGAAACATATCTGAGGTGACTTTTACTAGTCGGAAGAAGATAAGTCAAGAAGATAGCATTTTAAGAGACGAAGCAAGACTCATATTGTGAGTTACCTCGTCGAGGAAGAAGAGCTTGAGAAAAAGGAATCGCCAAGGATTATTGGTGGACAATGTCTGGAGCAATTGACAAATGGACCAGCTGATGTATGGTGGAATCCACAATTGTTTGGGTACAAGGAGTTGTGAAAAATAAAGAGCGTTAATACTGTCGCAACTCTCGGGGTAGCTAAGCCTCGGGAGAAGCGATAGCTACCGACTCTTTTATAAGAGATTTGAACTTTAGCATAGAAGGAAAGGACATGTTAGTCAACGTCTTCCTGATCGATATGAAAGACTTCTACGTCATCCTCGATATGGATTGATTGACCAAGTACCGAGCCGACAATGTGGTATCAAAGCAGGTCTATAGTTCTGTACACTTGCAAATTTTCAAAAAAAATTTGAAAATTTTTCAAAAAAATTGTGAAAAATGACCTCGTCTTCGTCATGCCGCGCCAGCTCAAAGGTATGTGTAAGTGTTAGTTCTGTTATTGCTTGCTTGGCTTTATTTTTGGGGCTTAGGAATTTCAAATACCAAATTGGCTAATCTGTCTGCACACCTATTTCCTTCGCGAAGAATGTGCCTAGTCACTGCAGACTTAAATTGCCGCATAAGAGCGCAACATTCCATAATCAAGGTTGCACAAGGATGTCCTTGTAAACTTCCCTGAATCCTCTACTTCAAGTTGTGAACTCTTGTTGAGAGAGTTAATATTGTTTTAACCTTCAAGTTACTTGTATTTTAGATTTGAGTAACCGGAACAGAAGACGAGCTGCGGACCAGGACGCTCAGCAGGCTCCACCTGCGCCGGGTCGAGATCATGCCCAGCTAGTCATCCAGTTCCGTAACATGCAGCTGCCGGTCTTCACCGGGGTTGGAGGCCCGACTGTTGTGGCCGCGTGGATCCGAAAGCTCGAGCGGATCTACAACTTGCTTTTGTGTTCCGGTGCGCAACACATTGCTTGCTCTGAGTTCCAGCTTGACGGTGATGCCGCCTCTCGGGTGACAGCGCCCTAACCCCGAGCCGTTGAATCGTTTTTTAGCTGTTCGACCAGTTTGATCGTACCAAAATCATATTTTAGCCTTGTGAACATTTTCCAAGCCTTTTTCCTTAAATCGAGAGTTCCAAGTTCCACAAGAAAATGTTATAAACTTCTTAATCAGTGATTTTTTATGAAGTGGGAAATCTTCAATAAATTTTCGTGTTATCGAGATAATTTATTTATGAAAAATTATCTTACTTAAATGTAGGATTCTGAGGAGTCGAGCCCTCGAACCTACAATAGCTTGTGCATTTCTGTCTTTTCCAAATTGAGGTGGGTGTTGATAAACTTTACTGTGCCTTTATTCTTTATAATCGTTAGATCTTATAATCAATGTATGCATGTGAACCATGTAACCTATTGTTGGATGTGGTATCGACCTTCGATAGGGTATCCCGTCGACGGTGACTAATGAGAGGCAGTCTCTTTTTATAGCCTAATGAAAGGCTGTGTCGTCGGATGGTATCAACCTTCGACATGTGCTCTCGTTGTTGGATGCGGTATCGACCTTCAACGGTTATATACACATGAGCATTATATGATATGATTGGAGATGTGATATTGTGATATTGATTCATGTCCATGCTGCGATTCTATTATCTGAGACTAAATTAGAGTGCTTGCCACAAAGTCCTACCCACTAGTGTTTAGGTGACTCGGTTGAAAATATTAGAGTTAAGTCACCTTGTGAAGATAGGTGAATTTCACCTGGTGTGCAAACCGTCGGATCAATATACACCAACGCAAATGTGTGCATGTGTAATCCGATGGTTTGGAGCCCAATATATGAGTTAACTCACCCTGTGAAGATAGGTGAATTTCACAAGGTGTGCAATTCCAGACCGTCGGATCAATATACACGCACACAAGTGTGTACGTGTATAATTTGATGTCTCGTAGCCTTGTAGCCTTGCAATTGCCAGTAGTGTCAAATTAGTTGTGAAGATAGGCAAGGATATCCATAATGGTGCTTTTTTTTTCTTTTTTTTTTTTTTTTTTTTTNACTTTCATTTAAAAAATACAATTATTAAGGATGATTAATAATTATACATTGCTTTGTTTAGGGTATATAAAGACAGAACAGAACATGGACTATGAGGGATATCTGTGATGTAATAACAAGCCCACACATGGACTATGAGGGATATCTGTGATTGAAGGACATGTATGTTAGAGGTGAGTGTAGAAGAAAAAATCATGACATTGCTTTAGTTTATGCATTGAAATGGGATTATGGGATTTGTTCCTTTGGATCTCAAAAGGTTATTTTATTCCACACATTTCCAGATGGAAACCTGGCCAATTTTTGTAGGCTCATGGTCGCTTTGGAACTAAGTGTTTCATTTGGAAACTAACGAATTGAATTGTACCAATTGAGTTGTAATAATTTTTCGTGAATGTAGATTACGGATGTAGATGAATTAGATGAACAAAGTTGTAGGATTTGTTATCGGTAAGAGTATCGTAAGACAGACTTCATTGTTGGATGAAAATACTTTTCTAACAAAATTACATATTTTTCATAAGGAGATCTTACCCCTAAAAAATCACATTTTGTTGCACAAGTTCAGTTTTTTGGACCACATTATTTCACNAGTATCATCATTCTTGATTATCCTTCGAATTATTGTTATATACCAAAAGCAATTGATCATCTTATACCAGGCATTGCAATTGTTGCCCGGAAAAGACCTTCAACCACTAGAGTAAATCCAATTCCCCAATTATGTCAATAAAAAAACCAAAAATAAATAATAATAATAATAATAATAATGATAATAATAATAATAATAATAATAATAATAATAGTAATAATTTTCACAAAATTTGTTTCACAAAAGTGTCAATATGATGTAGGGAAGCGTACAAGTGGGAAAGATAAACGAGATACTCTCTCGATAAGTCACAAAACTCAACAATATCTTATTTCATTCATAATCAACTCCCTAATAATAAAGCACAAGAGCCCTTTAAATAAGACTATTCAACTAACCCTAGCTTATTATCCAAGCTAAATAATAATAATAATAATAATAATAATAATAATAATAATAATAATAATAATAATAATAATAATAATAACCATAATTATTTTACATCATTCTCCTCCGGTTGAGCAGGATTCGCCTAATCTGACACGTTCCCGTTGGAGACGTCCCCATGACAGGAATAGCCCGGGCGTTTCCCACAATCGAACACGAAGGTTGAAGGTCGCCCACTAACCCCGAAGGTAAATATAATCTTGGGCAAGTAATGATATGCTGGAAAGGCACATGTACACGCCTCCATACGCATAACCCACACAATTGAATTAACACAAAACATACCATATCGTTCGCCGCGCTCAGAATCATAACTACGGCCAAGCATCCCGTTGTTGAGAGAATTCGCGATAGACAATCGGAAAATGACCCACCAATTATTGAGCCTCGGCTTCGGCTCCAAAAAACCATCGTTGGCCAAGATACTCCAAAAATCAAGTTTGAACGACGGCATCCCCGTCAAAGGCTCAACTTCTGCGACGCCCCACGCGGGACCCATATTGCCGCAAAGATATATATGTCTCCGTCATCAAAGGCTCCTCATTGAAAATAGGCGGACCGTCGTACAATGTCCCGTCATCTCCCTTAAAAATCCCACTCTGTTACTGCACATCTTGGTTGTCGTGCGCAGCAACGAGCTCAGTCTCGACAGGCGGAGGCGGCCACTCTCCCGAAGGGATCCACCTCCGATATGGTCTCCTTGCCGTCGGCATCGCCGGCCGGCGGTTGTGGAGATGGCCGACGGGGCGCCCCACCTGGACCACGATCTCCACTTCCTCCGTGAACTCCCCCGCGCACACCCCGGTCGCCGGCGGCACGGTTCATCTGCAAATCCTAGACCTCGTTGTTAAGCGTCAAATGCAAATTCTCGATCCCCGTCGAAAGATCTGCAAACCAATCCGTGAAACACACATCCAACTGTTCAAATCGGTAGTCGATCTATTGAAACCGATCATTGAATGTTGCATCACATCGTTTGTTGCGGCATCTTGTCTTCCCGGCGACATCGCGAATCGTACTGACTGTTGATACCAACTTATGTAGGAAAGCGTACGAGTGAGAAAGATAAACGAGATACTCTCTCGATAAAACTCACAAAACTCAAAAATATTTTATTTCATTCATATTCAACCCCCTAATAACAAAGCACAAGAGCCATTTAAATAAGACTATTCAACTAAACCCTATTTTATTCTCCAAACTAACTAATAATAATAATAATAATAATAATAATAATAATAATAATAATAATAATAACTATTCTGCATCACAATATATTTTGATTTTAGCAAAATTCTTGTTGCTCTTTTTTGTTGTTGGGCTACGATATAATTAGGTTTGCATTTTGTAAAATGGATTTGTCAAACTTTTAGTGAGAGTTGGACCCATATAGTGTTGAGAAAACGCAAGAGGAATTTGCACGCTCCACTTAAACAATATAAAAATATTACATAATTTCATTCTTTATATAATTATTTACAAATTAACTAAATTTGTTATATTTATTTGCATATATGCCTAAAAAGCTAATTTCCTAATTACATGGTAATTTCTCATTCTCTCTCCCCTTCCCCCTAATTACATGGTAACTTCTCATTCTATCTCCTCTATCCCTCCTCTCTCTTATTCACAGACGGTCCTTTCTCTCTTTTCTCACACAAAACCCTCCAAGGTCCACTGCCGCCGCCCCGCAGGTGAGAACATCCGCGACGAGTCCCGCCGCCACGCCTCGTCCCACTGCTTCTCCGTCAAGTACGTCCCCTTCAACGCCGACCCATTCTCCACCGAGTCCTACTCCCTCAACGAGATCGTCTACCGAGCCATCCCCGCGGTCGTCATCTACAGGTAGGCGATCCGAGAATCGTTTTCCATGGAGTCGACGAGAGAGAAGAGGAATATCTTTCCGGATGATGATTTATATTTAGTATATTTTCGGTATATTTTGTGTTGTGTTGTGGTATATTTTCGCTTCAGGATGATTTCGGATGATTCGGTATATTTTGTGTTTGGGTTGAGGTATATTTTGGTATATTTTTCATGGAGTCTACTGTTTTGTGTTGTGTTGTGGTATATGTACAGTATGATCAATATATGTACAGTATATATGAAATATACCTGGCAGGAGTAAAAAATATACCTTGATTTTAATTGACACCTTTTTTTTGTGATTATTTCCGTAACTTTTTTTAGAATAAAATTCAAAAAGCATTTTTATTTTTTGTAAATGGACGCAAATCACAGGCAAAAGAAGAAGAGAAAGTTGAATTGATATGGTAACTGAATCAGTCAAATTAAATGCACGTGGAGAGTGGTTAGAACTAATTGGTAACTGTCATTATGCATTAATGTAGATAAATATTATCTTTTAGGCAAAGTCACAATTAATTGCATGTGTATGGTAAATTTGTAATTTTTTAAAAACGTGTAGCAGGAATAAAAAATTCCCAAAAGGGAAAGGGAAATATTTTCATTAGGCCCAATTAAAATGAGCTAGTTGACTGGGTATTGGCCCAGGGAAAGTGCTCGGCGGACTGGCTAGCTTAATGCTATATATTGGACTAAATGAGTCCAAACAACTAAATATAGATTATTATTCTCTCAAGTGAAGGGATTTTTTTTTTTTTTTTTTTTTNCATTATGTATTCTTCATTGTAGTAGTGTTATTCTTCCATGTGGTATCTGTGTTGGAGTGTTATCTCCTGTTTGGAAGTTGTTTTGAATTTTATTTTGTTTAGTGTTAGTGTTATTTTCGAATTTACACGGAGAGAAATGCTATGGAGACAACCACTAATGTTATAGTGTCACGTAAGTCATGTAGAGTTAATTATTTTTTTACATGGCCTACGTGGCACTATAACATTGATGGTTGGCTCCTTTATTTGCTCCATAGCATTTCTCTTTAAGAGCATCCACAATGCTTTGGGTCTCTTGACAAAAAATCACATGTCATGTAAGAAATAGACCTAGTTTATAAAAAAATGCTTCCCAATGCAATTAAAAATGGACATGGTCTAGCTTATGTGGCAATAAAAAAAAGAGACTAAGTCCACACTTGGGTCTATTTTTGGACCGAAGTACAAACCCAAACACTAATCATTTATTCCTACTTTAGTTTTTCTTTTAATAAAAAAAACATATTAGATCATTTTTATTGGTTGACATATATGTTAGACTTAGTATTTTTATTTTTGCATTGCAAAGTTATTGAAGTTTTTTACTTGGGTTTGTCCACATCATTTAAGACTCAAGTCCAATTATATGCCACATATACAAAAAGAGACCCAAAGCATTGTGGGTGCTCTAAGCGGGTGGACTGTGTCCAAGTTATCCTAAATTTAACTTTTGTAGTTGGTCGTTTCATCTGGTTTCACTGTAATCCAATCTATACTAAAAAAAAGGCTCTTTGAATATTAATATTAATATATCACCGGAAAAAGAAAGGTGAGGTTCAGCCAGGAAGCCTATAGGCAAGTTCCAAAAGGCAAATTTGGGTGTGATTCATCATTCATGATGTAACACATACTCAAAAATATATCACGGGGAAAAGAGAGTAAAAAAATCTCATGAGTTGATTGATCGACTTTTTAAGCCTCACAATTATCTTTAACTGCGTCATCATCACGGGCTGAGTCGGCGTATCTCAGTGAATCACATTTAACCCTAGTTATGTTATGATGAGGTTTAAAGATTCTAGAGGAAGGTCGAGAAATGAACGTTCGAGGAAATATCATAGTCCTAATCCTAAATTTTCCATTGATGTTTTCACTTTTCTTAGTTGTTGTTGTCTGCATAAATTTAATGGAACACATGTCGTGCTAATCCTAAATTTTCCATTGATGTTTTTCACTTTTCTTAGTTGTTGTTGTCTGCATAAATTTAGTGGAACACATGTCGTGCTAATGTTAATATATAT